CGACCCGCCCAAACGGCATTTTCACGTCTAGACAAGTGAGTTATTGCTCTTTTGAAGTGCAAAGCACAGTCTTGGACTTAACTCATCCAGGGAACCGAGGACGGTGAATATCCAAAACCTGTCATTCTGCCGAGCTGCTGCCTTTAAGATACGATTTTGCTGCTACTGTACGCACGCATGTTCCATCAAAGGTCACGGTAAATCTAGTCAAAATTTGCGAACAAGAACAGCGGTTTTTAAAAGTAAAAACAAGTCATATGATAACAATGATAGTGCTCACTTTAAAAACTAATGTGGTGCGGTTGAATGCCCATTTGTACTAACATCTCACTTGGCGCAGGCCGTTGCGAGTATGATACTCGAGCTTTTGATCGCCGTCCTGCTTACAATCATTACATTCTTACCTTTATGCGGCAAAAAGAAAGCGTAAGTCCTTCAAACGACACTTTGACAGATATATTCTCGTATCCTGATGTAGCAAACCAAAACAAGCACCCTCTATGATGAACAAACCGCCGCCTCCAGGCGCGCCTGCAGCCCCAGGTACCGCCCCAGCGTCAGGAGCTCCAGCTGGAGAGGCTCCTAAAGAAGAAAAGAAGGCAAGTCTAGTTCGACTTTGGTAGGAGAAAGAGTGAATCGGATTACTTGGCAGGAGGGCGAAGCAGCCAAACCTTCTGGAGAAGGTGAAAAGAAAGAGGAGAAGAAGGAAGGAGAAAAGAAGGAAGAGGAGAAGAAGGAGGGAGAAAAGAAGGAAGGGGAAGAGAAGAAAGAGGAGAAGAAAGAGGAAGAGAAGAAAGAGGAGAAGAAGGATGAGAAGAAAGACGAAGAGAAGAAGGAAGAGAAGAAAGAAGAGGAGAAGAAAGAGGAAAAGAAGGTAAGTTGTATATCTCTACCAGCCGCAACTATAGAAATTGTTGCTTGAAATGATTGCAGTAGAAACTTTACATTTATCTTAGTGAATGAATTCACCTCTTTGAAATACATTGAGGATTCGGTCGTACATTGCCGGTGTTGCCCTTGTTTTAACTGCTGCTAAAGTAGCTATCGCTGAAATTAACCCTGCGCACTATCATTCTTCCGTAGCAGTTTCACCGCTGGGACCGGACGA